ATGCATAGTCCCTGCCCCGAGCTCAGCATGGCCACCTGTGGCTGGCCCAGCCACAGCACCACACCTGCTTCATCTGCAGAGTAACAGAGCTGGCCTTCAAGAGTCAGAACTACAGCGCGACCGCTCTTCCCCCAGCAGGTGCTGGACCACAGCAAGAGCAGACGCACAGACCGGCACATTTCTAGGCAGTGAGTTTTGGAAGGAACGCTTCTTCCTTTGCAAGTCTCCCCTCCACACCTGAGGGGTCATATAAGGAGAACACGGCTGGCTTGATAATTGCCTCTAATACATCCTACTCCCCATTTATCCCCTTTCTCCAGCAATGATGAAACCCTGTCTCCCGAACTCCTGAAGGTTAGCCCCAGGAAGGGAGAGGGATGCTGGAAAGGTAGGACAATCAGCATTTTGCTCTGAGAATTTTGTTTTTCTTTTAGGCAACATGTTTTCAAATTTCACTTATAATTGCTAATAAAGAGGGACACACCTTCAGCTGAAAAAGGGAAAATGGCGTCTGGTAGTGAAGGCAGCCAGAGCCCAAAAGAAAACAGTGGCTTGGGTTGCTCTCACAGCCGAGGGTGATTTCAGCTCCTTCAGGCTGCAGCCTCCGAAAAGGCCAAGTCGCCCAAGAGGTGGCTGACGTTAGGGGAGCAGGGCCATCCTCCTAAGCTCAGCTCCAGGCTCTGTCAAGGCAGCGGGGAAAACCCTCAATTGGGCCCACCTCGTGCCCTTCTCCCCCTTCAATCTGCATCCGCCCACCAGTCATCCATGAGCAACCCACCCACGGGTTCGCTTGGTGGACGTGCAGATCTCATTTGACGCTTCCTGCCGGAGGCAGGAGCAGTTTCTTTCCCTCTCCCCTCCTTTCAACTACCTTGAGGACTCTGTTCGCCTCTCTCCCCCACTGACCACCCCTGCTTCTTGCCTTCCTCCCCCAAGTGAGGCAAGAAAAGCTTCCTCCCCCATCCCTACCACACCTGTACGGAGCCACTGTAGGATGCTGGATACACACATAGCCAACAAGCACAGCCACACCACACAAAAAGGCAGGCAGCCTCCTGCTAACCGCACGCAGAGTGTTGACGATCCCATGTTGTCCAATTGGAGGCACACCGGTGCTTGACAAAACACAAACACCCTTCCAGTCCCCACCCGTAAACCAACACAAAGGCCACCAAGAATTTCAAGACCAGGCACTGTCTGTAGAGAGGAGAGCTGGGTCAGACAAAGACATCTTTCCATCCTCCCAACTAACCATAACAACTCTCTGGGATATTCTGCAGTGCCCTCTGGTTCGACACAGCCCACTGATCAGAGCTGTACGTGTTGGTGTGTGTGAGACAGAGCACACATGTGTATGGGGGAGGGGGCTGTGGCTCTACGTCCAGGCATCAAATCTCCCTGGAGGTAACCCAGTCAGACTCTGCCTCCCCCACATAACCTTCCTCCGATCTACCGCAAACATATATTTCATGGATGGTTAAATTGGATCATTATCACTGGGTGCTTATTTGGTCTCGAAAAAAATTATTAATGTCATCTACCCCCATTCCAATCCCCTGCTTATGAGGTCCCCTCCCACAAAGACTCTCCAACATGCTAATCCCATGAACTGCGACACACTACAGCTTTAGGGAAAGAATAATGGCGAGAAGAAAGAAGACCGCGGTTGCGGAGAGAAAAGGAGGCTCTAACGTGACTGCAGTCCCCATGCGAAGATGGGGGGAAGGAGCCATGGTGGAGGTAGAGCGGGGAAAGAGGTTAAGGGGAATAAAACCGAGCAAAATGAAGCCCTTGGGCACCTGTGTATGTGACAGAGAGTGTGTGTGCAAGAGCGTGTGCCGGTGTGTGTGTGGATGTGCCGACTTTGCCCTCCTATCAGAAGGCTGCATCCGTGTGGCATGTAGGAAAGGCCATCGCACCACTGTTGTGTTGCAAAAAAAAAAAAAAAAGGCAAGGAAAAAGGGAAAAAAGAGCCGCAGAGCCATCAGAATCAGAATTTTCTCATGAAGATGGAAAGGGCTGGAGAAAGGAGGCTGCATCTAGGGTCGGGGGAGCCGTGTGTGGAAATAGAAGGCAAGATCATGGCAGAATTGGGGGAGGATGGAGGGGGAAATTGGTGGTGGAGTGACAAAATTTCACACACACACAGAAAGACAAACACACACAATACCCAAACGCCAACCCGACCACTCCACTGTTCATCCAAGACTGACAACCCGTCCCCCATCTCTCCGCTGCCTCTCCGTGCCCCCAAAGCTGGTGCCGATGGATTTCTGTATCTCAGTTTTGCAGCAGTGGGCTAATTACAACCAAGCCCCCTCACCAAATTAACCCCTCCCCTCCCTCTTTCTTTTTTTCTCTAAAAGGCCAATTGAAAAATAATGTGTTTTTATAGATAATGGATTTTTTTTCAAGGAGCGAGAGAAAGGGGGGTGCAGAAGAGAAATTCTGCAAACCGGTGACTTCCGACCTCACCTCCGTCTCCCCTCACATCCCCGTTTGCTGTAGCATCTCATCTACCGCTCTCCCACCATTCCCTCATCCCCTACCACCCAAAAGAAAAGACCTTCCTACCATGCACATCGACAAACACACCAACCGCCACCCAATCTCAGTAGCCGATCTCAAACCCCAAGCATCAGTCCACCTCAATACATCCTTTCCCTTATATAAGCAGCAAATCATCAACATAGGAGAAACGCAGCACTAAAAAGAAATCAACAAAAACGGAGGCCAGAGCCCCGTCAAATCCCCGATAATTAATAACAGGGAACTACCAGAGAAGCAAAGACGTAGTTGTCTCTCAAAATCTAGATTCCCTTTCATTTCTGCCCCTTCCTCTTCTTAAGAAGCAATTTTAAAAAATTATTATTTCACTAGAAAGGGCCAGAAATCTCCAGAAAAAGGGCATTCGCACAGTCCAGTTGTTTTTTAAAAATAAACCCAGCCCTGTTGCTCACTTTAATAGCGAACTTCCAGTGTCCAGCCTTTTCCCCCTCTTCCAGAAGGAAGACTGACTCACAGGATGAACCCCGGGCTGCAGAAAATGGGCCAAGAGCCCTTACTCCACTCCCCAACAACGAGAAAAATCAAACAATAGGAATATCTGCACAACCAGCACCTGTCTGAAATATCGTTTGTCCCATATGACTTAGGCAGATTAAGTACGAAGATTAAAAAATAAATACCAGCCTTGCCTCCTCTTGCTCCCCTCCATCCTTCTGCCACATGCCCAGTAGCCCTTAGGTAAACTTGCCCATCGTAACCAGCGGGACCATTTTAACTTGAAAGGCGATGCAGAAGCCCTTGAACGATGAAGGAAGGCTCTACCCAGAACAGCAAATTAATAAAGAGCTAGTTCTCCAGGCTCCCCAGACTAACCTCCAGGTGCTCCCAGATAGACTATCCTGGGTACCAAGTCACCCAGAGCACTGGGAGTTCAAATTTCCACTGGAACCTTCATCACAAAGGCAAACGGTCATCTGACCCCCAAAACTACACCGTCCTCCAGGTGTGACAAGGAGTGCCCCCTCTGCCTCCCAGGGCCATCCACAGGACCCAGCACAGGGAGAGAAAGAAGAATGTGGGGGTGGCTTGTAGTGGTAAAAGAAGAACTATCTCCCCAAAGCGGGAAGCGAAGGAAGCGGGGAGAAGACAGCTCGTGTCCTACCAGCTCTCTTATTTGCCCTGACTCTGTCTTGCTCCATCCTAAACTAGCTCTCAATGATCTCTGACCTTTGCATTAAAAAAAAAAGTATTAAAAATAAAGATCAGAAAAGAGGAAGCCTACTTTGCCTAAACCCCAATAATCGTTAGCAAAAATATGATTTTCTCACCGCACAATGATATTTCTACATCCAAATTAAAAGAGGCAGGCATTTAATGGAGGAAGGGAAATTTTTATTTTTTATTTGTAACAAGTAATCACAGGGTAAGTCACCTGCAAAGCAGCCAAGCCCTTAGGTTGGTATTACATCACTGGCCTAGGAAGGGATGGGGGGTGGGGGGACACATTTTTTTCCTTGTCATCAGGATGATGTTTCTAAAGCAGTTAAGTTTTGTGGTTAAAAAAGAGAGAGGGAAAGAGCTGAAACTCTGGGTACAGCACAATGCCTGGAAAAAACAATACATCGAACCAGGCTTTAAGGTCACTGAGAGCTTGCAAAACCCACAGTGCTTACACAGAGTGGAAGTTTTCAGGCAAGCCTGCTACTAAATCATTAATATAAACAAATGGAAGGCAGTGGAGGAAGATTCCCTTGTAACCGATCCAAACAGGAGAGCACACCCGCGCACACATACACACACACACACACACACACACACACTCCCTTTTCACCTTCTCCAAGTATGCCCACCTTCACAAGACAGAAGTCCAACCTGAATTTTTAGACTCTAGAACTACCTCCTCACACTCTCTCTCAAAAAAAAAAAAAAAAAAAAAGCATACACACACATTCACATATATCCCAGTTCCGCTAGGGAAATCCCTGTCTCAACTCAATTTTATTTTCTTGTAATCCTCAGAGCGTCCCTTCTGTTTCTCATTTTAACCAGCCCAAATAAATAAATGAATAAATGAGAGAGAAAGTGGTTACAAAATGTCAAAAAAAAGTATCTGCCCAAAATGAAGTGATGAGCACACATCGTTTCGTACTAACAATTCAAGCAAATAGGAGAAAGACTTAAAAAAAAAAAAAAAAAAAAAAAAAAAAAAGAAGAAGAAGGTGAAAATCTAAAACATTCTCTGACTTTTCTAACATCTGGAGGAAAAGGGTCCAACTTCCAGGAGAAACTGAAGAAAAAGAAAGGCAGTTAAAAAGCCATTTCCACAGTCAGCCAAGGCTCGCGGATACAGCATTCAAAAAAAAAAAAAAAATCTAGGTTGGTCGCTCCCAACTGAAAACTTCTACCCTCTCAGGAGCAGCCTCTTCCCAGAACGGACGAGAACCTTGAGTTGTTTCATACCCTGCCTGCCTTCCTTTGCCCGCAAACCTTACCTTTCCAGTTGAACAGAAGATTTGGGATCTGTCTGTGTGTCTGTTTGATGTTTAATCAACTGAGTTTGCTGGGTATGTTTCCTCTTTGGGGAGGTTCAAATTCCAGAATCTTTCTCTCTCCTTTTCTTTTCCTCTCTCTCTGGGAGGGAGTGGCAGGGAAGAAGGGAGGGGTTGTTGGAGGTGCGAAAAGCAGGTCCTTGGTGGCTGGAGATGCCGAGGCTGAGAGACGGGAGGACAGGTTGCCTCTCCCTCTCAGTGAGTTGCATGCAAGAGGCGATGTGTAGGGCTGAGCGCTGAGCCTGAGACTGCCGGAGGAGCCCAGGAATTTCACGCACTCCAGAGCCGGCCCCTCCCTCTCCCACACAGACCCCAGCATTTAAAGAGACAGTCAGGCCGCTTATCTCATTTCTTCACCTCCTCCCTGACTGTTTTGCAAACAGCTGAAAAGATATCATCAGGGAGGCGCAGTCTGCAGCCCCCACAACTAAGAGGCAGTGTCTGAGCTCAGTTCTCCCCTTAACCCAGCCTCAGAGGAGAGTTCTTCCTTAGAACCGAAGCAGGAATTAATATTAAGACAAAAATACTCATTTACAGCTTCAACAGACCAAACCACTTCCCCACTGTTGAGGAAGTGTGTGTCTCCTTGCAGACTGAGGGACTCTAACCTACAGGTGTGCCTCAGTTTCCCTGAGTAGTTGCTCTTCCTTGCAAAATCAGGGCAATCCTTGAGCATCTGCTGGAGGTCAGGGCTGTAACTAGGACACAAATCTATTTCTTCAACAAGCACTTTGAATGCCTGCTTTGGATGAGGCACAGTGCAAGGGGCTGGGGACACAGAAATGAAAGTGACAAATGGGGCTTCCTCTCTCAGACCCCCTAGCAGCAAAACAGACCCAGGCACAGCCCATCCCATCCTAAGGGGCTACCAGCTAAGAGTCACAGGCAGGAATCAAGTGTTTTGGTGACTCAGGAAGATAGCTCCCTTTGTGGTTTGCACTCTGAACTCTGAGCCTAGGCAATTCCACTGCACCCCTAAACCCTTGAAAATCCATTGTCAGCCTTGACAAACTAGTTCATGTCTGTGGAAATGCTTCCCCAGTCAAACCTAACTGAGAGATGACAGCCGGTGGCTCCCAATACAAAGGTTTTGCTCAGCATCAGACCCTGGTACTTCATATGGAAATGCAACCCCAAACTTCTTTCTTCTTCAGCCTCCCCTTTTTAAGGGCTGCAGTGCCTGTCTGTCCATGGAGCAGCACCAATTTGCTAATAGCTGTCCAGCACTTATCATATGCCACCAAGTGGGTCATCTCATTCAGTCCAGCTAGGACAGTGCTATTTGACAGTTGAGGCCCATTTTACAGTCTTAAAAATCAAAGGTTTAGAGAGGTTGCCCAAGGTCACACAGCTGGAAGCTGCTGAGAATGAACTGGAACTCAGGTCTATCCCACTCCAGAGCCTGCCTGTTTAGCCACAGTACTCTACTGCGTTGCTGCCAAGGATAGTAGTTCTTATATTTCTGCCCTTTACTGGACATTCTTGCAGGATTCTAGCACTTTCCCAACCCAGCAAACTTTAATAGCACATGTACCAGGCATCATGCTCACAAGAAACAAAATGAATCTATCAAGGTCTGAACCCCAAGGACTCCATGAAGCATTGGAGGAGGACAGAAATGTGCTTCTATAAAGCAAGGGGAAAATAATCATGAGAGCAATGTAAAGGAAGCTCTATGGGATTGTCAATAAGCAAGGGATTAATTTCAGTTTGGAGGTAGGAGATATCAAGGCAAGCTTGGTGGACCAAAGTGGCATCTGGGCTGAGACTAGATGGACACATGCACTTCCAGCATTACTAGGCTACTTTTCCATCTGTTTTACCTTTCAGATCACAATCTCATTTTCTTATGTGTCTTTGGGTCTCCAGCCTTCAACACCTCCACAGTACCCAGCAGTTTTAGGAACACAAACAGACATGCCCTCATTGATTAATTTTATATTACATCTGACCTCCCACCTGTTTAATCTAGACCTGAACTGCCCTGGCCACCAGTTCCCTATCCTCCTTACCTGGCATTCCTGGAAGGCTCTGCACCGAATTTGTCCACAGAATGTAGAAGGGAAGTTCAGAAGGCACAGTGACATTGCACTAGATATCAGGAGCTCCCGGGGGAAGAACCATGTAAAGGAGCCACTGTGATCCAGCAGGACATTGGGAACAGCCAGGGAAACTGTAAGCTCATCTTGGGGCCAGCAGGAAGAGACCTACTAAGGGACAAGAGGTCAGAAGCCTCAAGGGAAAGCCTGAGGACTCAGTGCTCTGCAGATGTCAGCGCCCATGGGAGTCCTGTGGCAAACACCAGCCTCGAAGGGACATCCCTGCGAGAAGTCCACAGTGTGTCTGCAGGACAGCCTAGAGGTTCAGGGACATGCCTGGATTCCAATCCCATCTGTGCCACCTAAATTCCTTGTGATTCGAATAACTTTCTTTACCCTCTCCAAGTCTCAGCACCCTCATCTATAAAATAGAGGTAACACCTATATTTACTTCATAGAGTTGTTTTGAGAAATAAGTAATAAAATACTTGTAGGGCACCTGCCCCACAGAAGTACTCAACAGATGTTCGCTCCCTCAGCCCAAAGGTCTGCATTTGCCCCTGCATGGAATTATTAACTTTGGACTGCCCCCTATAGTTGGGATTCCTTTATTTCAAGTTATATGTCCCTTTTAATAATTTAGCTTATTATTTAGGGTATCACTGTAGTCACTATTATTTACTTCATTTTAGCCCCTTTGATTTCTAACCGACTTTAACTTGTATATTTTGAATATGCTTGTTATTTTATTCCGTTTTGTTGTTTCTTAGACTTCTTAGGTGTTATTTATCTTTCAACTACTTCCGTGTAGCCTTTTAGTTTGCCTTTTATCATGAAACCCGTGGGTTCATTTTGTCTCATCCCTCCATACCATTTTAGCTAACTACCACTCTCCTCATTCTAGTGATCCAGCATTCCCCAGATAGCTCCAGATTTGTAAAGAGGGTTATGTACAAAATAACAGGGAAAGCCAACATCAAAGAGAATAAGACAGGTCTCCTTGCAGACATATAATGCAACCATAGGCAAAAAGCACTATCAGGTGTTTGCCCAAATGATGGTGCCACTGTGGTCAGCAATGGTACTAATTTTTATTTTTTAAGGGAGAATTCAATGAATACAACTGAAGCCCTCAGAGACCCTAGGCCTTCTCAGCTCTCAGCTCTGTCCTGGGCTAAGGAGGGCCATGATCAGAGGTCATTAGGTTAGAAGGTTTCCTCACAGGCCTATCTTCCTTCCTTTGATTCGACTATGGAGCTCCATCTTCACTCAGTTCAGGGAGAGAACAAATAGACCAGGGACTATTTCAGCTTTTCTCAAATGTGCCAGACCAATGCTTTCAGCGTGTAGCAAGAAAAAATTTTATTACCAATCAAAAGGATATGTTGCCCATGGCATTCTGAAAAAAAAAAAGTTATTACATTGATAATAATAATATACATTACAATTACATTAATGATTATTATAATATAAATATAATTAATAATAATAACTGCTATCACAAATGACCCCCTGCCAATCCTCTACCTAGAAGCATGTGGTTAAGAGCCCAAGGCTCTGCAAACAGGACACCGGGGTTCAAATCCCAGCTCCACCATTTGCGGGCCATGAGACCTTAGCCAAGTTCCTAACATCTTGAGCCTCCATTTTCTCACCTATTAAACGGGAATGGTAATGGTACCAAATGCTTCCTGTGAGAATTGTATCAAAAGCACCAACAGTAGTGAATGGCACATGGGAAGTCCACAATGGCGAGTATTGGTCATTATGATCAGAGTGGAATTTTAAATATTTAATGTCTGAGATGGTCCAGTCAGCAACCAATCAGACTGGAAGGTGACCAAAAGCAACTTCCTTCACCTTACCAAGGCATACCAGCTACCCACCTTGATTATTAGCACTTTACCAACTGCAGGTACTAAGCTAGGCATTTGGCATGCACTAATGCATTCTCTCATTTAATCCTCACAGCAACTGGGTTTTATTATGTTATGTATTGAAATACATGCAATTGCACATTTGTAAATAAGATTATGCCTATAAAATCAGAGTTCTACATAAAAAGCCTTGGTATATCCGTTCCTGCCACCCTAATGACTCTTAGTATGTGAATTTCAAGGGTTGCTTTTTCTGGGACATTTTTAGCCTCACTACATAGGTTTCTTCTTTTACTTACTCATTCTTTCAGTAAACTTTGGGGAAAAAAATTATGTTCCATGGCTGTTTCTTCATCCATTAAATGGGTGTTTCTTTCTAAGTTCCCACTACTCGACTCCAACCAAACCTGAGAACATCAAAGTCTTCTCCAGCCAAGACCACTAGAAATCAGGCATTAGACAGTTCTTCTAATCCCTCAGCTAGCACTTCAGTTACGTCAAACCCTCCAGGCTCCCAAACTGCCCCATAAACTTGGACTTTTAGTCACTAAGGTCCACACATGCCTTATCCCTAAGCAGATTTCAAATTCAGTCCCAGTGCTGTTGGCCCAAAGCATTTTGCCTAAGGCTCTTTCAAACATTCCCACGCTCTTCTCTCCTCTCCTCCCCCAAGAACTGTGCTGCGATGCTGGCCTCCTGGAGTTTATTTGGCTTTCTGTCACCTATGTGATGATGATTCTAGTGTTATTAATAGGTGACTGCTTATTAATTAGTATTATTAGACATGTGCCGTGCAGTGCAGACAGTACCACAGAAGGAACTGGCATCCTTCAAGGAAAAGACTTGTACAAAAAGACTTGTCCCTGGGGCTCAGTAAAAGGACACAGGCCCCACAGTGAGTCATGGGGAGCCAACTGCAGTGCTTCCCAAATTCTAAAAGCCAGGCACCTAATCCAGACAGCTATGTCTGGCAAGGGAAGGAAGGATAAGTGAATATGAGATTTGCAGGCATGTGAGAACACAAGCCCAAAGAGAAACCTGAGCACTCAGGCCCTGAGGAGGTCACTTCCCGTGAAATGTTTCTCAGTCCAGGCATCCCTCCCACCAGGGTATCTGCTGTTCCCAAAGAGGCTGCAGTAAGGGCTAGCTCCTAGAAAGAGCAAGGGTCTCCAACTTCTAACTCCAGTGGGGAACTCTCTACCTTCATGTTCCTATCCTGCTTATTCCATGGGAATAAAATCATCTCAGGGGCTCACAGCCAACAGAAGCCTCCCAGCCAACTCCCTGAATTCAGCAGCCTTTTGCCAGCCCTCTGCACAAGACTACCAACTCCAGTCTCAAGGAGGGGAGA